TTGGATTGTGACGCGAAATCCCACTAGTGGCGTCGGTTGACTTTAAAGTCAGCCTCTGCCAATACGGTCACTGGAACCGTCACCGAAGTGGAGGGTTTCGGTGTGGCTCTCTCCCGAAAATCTACTTCTAACCGCTGTGTCAAACACTGCTCGCGGAGCTCAATGGCCTAGTGATCGTGGTGATAGCCGCCAAGCACTATGCGCCGAGTTCCACTCCCAGCTCGGCTATCTCTACCTGATGAGTCTAAACAAAGACGAAACCGTCCGTCGTGGAGTGCAGGGATGAGAGAGCCACACCGAAATCCTGCACTCAGATTCAAATTCTGTTAAAAATGCCTACTGTTTACCAAGACTACCCTTGAAACCAACCGCAAATTCAATGGGGAGTTGGTATGCCGTTGGCAATGCATAGGGAACCTAGCAAGTGCAAAGTTTACAACTATCGTGTTCGAACTCTCTTGCGCGCAAACGTACCGGAGGCGCATTGGCATTTGGAACGACGTCTGGCATGTAGAAGTCAACCTTTTACTTTTCTGGTCGTTGTACTGATCGGTTAAGGAGGATATAGCGATTACCAATTATGTGCATTACAGTAGTAGGTTATGCTTACTGTAGTTCTAGTCATATTAGTATCGAAATTTATATCCAATATTGTATGCATTTCGGGGAGACTGCTGAGCACCGCTTCTGTCACCTAAACATGCCAGAAGTCCGATGTACATGTCAGTGGATTGTGCTGAACTCATCGGACGTTCAGCAAGCTGAGCCTTTGGTAGCGAACAACTAATTGGTTGCACTACGAAGCAGATTACTTGCAATGGCACTGGAGATATTTAGAAAATATTCAAAACTTACGAACTACAGGGCGCATAACAGATAGAACAGCGCGTATGATTGGAGCTGTGTTGTATGTCACGTTGCCTAGACCTTGGAAAGCACATGTTTCCGCACCCATAAAACATGGTTCATTGTTCGTTATTATGAGATAGACGACGACGACGACAACAACAACAACAACCTTAGCGATTATCAGCCATCGTTAACTAAGCCGTATAGCCGTTTGGAGTATCGCAGAGTCGCTTGTCTCAAAATGTGTCAACAGCGGAATGCACTCACAGCTTACATCATCTCTGTCCCACTTTATCCGTAGCTAAAATATGAAATGACCACAAGACAATCCACTTAGATAACTAAACATAGCTCCTCTTCCGCAGGAGACATCGTGACGTAGGTGATGTTCCAGTCTAGCCAGCAGCGGTCTTTGTTAACAGCGAATGCGGCCACCGATAAGCACTTCAGTTTACGCCACGTCTCCGCGACGAGGCTGGATCTTAACATGATGGTTTGCGTGCCTCAACAATCCATGAAGCCATGCTGGGTAGTGCTATTTTGCACCTTCAGAGCCACTTATGCGAGATTGGTCAATTGTTAGAGGCCAGACAAACCCAGTCTCCTGGCCCTCCAGGTTGGGGGTTGCAGTGGGTGTGGCACTTTACTCCTTAAAACGGACTCTGTAGCCTGGTGCCAAAACCCCGGTGCCTTGCAGTCCGGTTTTTGAACTAGGGGGGCTTGGGTAGAGTACTCTAATCATTCTCCTGTCTAGGGCTGGGCAACCTGACAGTATTCTGCCCACGTAATGACTTTCTCGTCAAACAAGTTCTTGTTACTCTGGATGGCGCAGAGGATAACCAACAGCGCCTTATCTGCTGCATCGAGCAGGGTGGATAGGGTTTGCGACGATACTGTTCAAGCCTTTCCGTCTTCTTATTCCTCCTCTTGCGCTTTTCATACTTATCCCTCCTTCCATCAACATCATTACAAATATCAGCTAGAGGTGGAAAAGACCTCAGCTATTGTGTCCTCTAACAACTTAATTTTATCCCAGTTTCCAACCCACCCAATTCGCGGTTATTTTCCATCTTGTTTCGATAGTCACTTATCTTTTAGGTTCAACGCACGCAATCGCAGGCCTTTGCTCTGGTCCAGTCGACAAGCCAGTTCATCCGTATCTATTTAGAGCCCTCGATTGTCCCCAAAACTGGCATGCCGTAACGTGAGTACTTTGTTACACAGGCAGCACTTGCCCGAACACTGGGGACCAGTGTAAAACAAACAACGCAGTTAGCTGCATTGTGACAACTGTCGTGTTTAGTGAAACAACAAGCTTAAATTTGGAGTATGGGGTCCGTTGTTTTACTAGTACACCGCGGTCCGCTAATATGATAGTGAAGCAGATGAGCGTTGACATGTCAACAGCTCGGCTGATCGCAACCGCATGCAGCTAAAATCCGTTTATACCAAGCGTACAATTGCTTACCATCAAAGGTGCATAGGCGTACAATGAACTAAGCTCACTTGCTGATACGAAACACAGATTCTGTTCGTAACAAATTTCTTAACCGTTTGACCCCCTACATGAGTCATCGGTAGGTTTGAGTAGGACGACGCAAATGAAGAGTGCCCTTTCCCAGTTATGTTCTCATCATTTGTCCGGGGACACAAGAAGCGGACCTGATCCATGTTGAGCACACAGTCAGAGTCAAGCTTTCGGTATTACGTTACAAGAGAAACGTCGAGATCCCGTGTCAGCGTGTTGTAACCATTGAAAATGAATACCTAAAAAAAGAAACCTACGCTTCCCAATCAAACTGATAGACACTTTAAAAATTTAACCACAGTTTAGACGTCTCAAGTTGAGTAAACAAGCTGCTTCGAAAGCAATCCCAACGACACAGTTAAGATGATTCCGATCGCAATCGATCACATCCAACACGCTCGCGCGAAACACTCATGGATGCAGTTCACTGATGTCAGTGAATTGAGGACTCTTGATCCAAGTGAAGAGTAAGAAAACGCTTCACTGACGCAGGGAAAGTGAGTGCGAGATACGTGTCCAAGGCATGGTCAGGATCCGGATGCGTGCTCTAGATGGACCGGCAAGCTTTCGATGAGGAGCAACCTCCTTAGCTAATACCGGTTTGATCAAGTGGGATCTGGAGCATAGTTCAGTTTGCTGGGTATCAGATAATGCGAGGTAGACGTTAACTTAGGGGAGAAGCGCCGCTAATGTAACGATTGCGGGTATCCTGAGGCTAAAGAAACCGATAGTCAATTCATGTGACGCAGACCTGTAAATGTCTTCTCAGGCGTTGTCCAGAGTCCGACAAGCGGGTCGTTTAGAAATGTATATGCGAGAAGAGATTAGGACATCCATATTTTTCAAAACACCGAGAAAGGACGGGAGCTATCTATAGGATCTGTCCCTAATGGCCTTCAAGCTGCAGCCGGTGGATGCATGCACAAAAGCATCACGTCTTCATACGATCCATACTAACCCCTATGGGGGACCAGAGACGGAACCGCACATACGCGGCTATCCAATAAGACCCATAAGAGTATACTGCCTTCAGCTCATAGTTATGGGCTGGATATCACCAGAGACGTGAAGAATACCCGATGTTGTCGACGGATTCTGAAGTAGGCATTCGATGTCACTATATTTCAAGCAGCTACCCAAGACACAAAGCAAGAAGCTCAGTAGCATTCGTCGTCAATCTGCTGAAAGCTAGCCTGGGAATAAATAGCAAGCTCCTTGGTTCTGCGTTCTAACTTCGTCTCTTGGAGTAATAGCCAGGTGGAGTGTTCATGCCGACTGCCGCATCGTCCACGTTCCGAGTACAAGGAGAGATTTGCTGATAAAAATCACTTCCGGTGATCACCGAGATGCAGTCCTTCGTAGCGCCAGCTAAAACGGCGAGACTTATTAATTCCAACTGCGGTTTGAAGTCGAAATGTACCTAAGCAGCCTTGATCCGTGGCTCAGTTGAGCAAAATACTCCAGAGGACAATTCAAATGGTACAAATACTGCAGGGAACAGCTAGGGTAGTACTAGAGACGAGAAGTATGCAAACCTCGCTACCGAAATCAGCAAATGCAGTGAGAAGCTATCGTGTATATATTCCATGGATCTAACTGATATCAAACATCCCGCAGAGAGGTGGTGAAGGATCGACTCGCGGAAAATAAAACCACGGGTTTGGCACAGATCTGAATGACAAATGATATCCTGCCGAGTAAACTGGAAGATTTGCAAGAGGAATAGGACAATTAAAAAGAAAACAAGTGCATAGGTCAAGACGGTGGATTGTGGACACAAGCAATCTATTCCGGAAGAAAGGCTACATTCGAGGTCCCCAACCTTTAGTCATATGATTATGACATAGGTTCTCATGCTGATCGTCTCTTCCAAGTCAGAACACAAGAAATGATGAAGTTAGGTGGCAGGTCAAAGTGCGTGGAATAAAAGCAGTGTCCACTCCAACCAACTTGACAGCATTTCCCACGATGTTGCGCACTGTGGTTGAGAGTCGTTAAACATTTCCCACTACCCAATGTTATGTAGCAGTTAGTCCACGTTAAAACTTTTAGGTTTCATTGAGGAAACCCTTTCTATGCAAGAATGAGGATGACCAAGTAGAGAGCCATGGATTAATAGGCCAATATGGTTCCACGTTGCTAAAGATCTCCAGAGAGTCGGCGAACAAGTATAGCGGATCAGAAATGTCAAATCCATTATCACGAAAGTGGTATGACGACTACCGAGTTTTGAAGAACGCAGCAAATGTGAGGATGGGTAGTAGTATCGACAGAGCGAAGCGGTTACTCAGTGTGTTTTGGAGTGTCCGCTTCGATTCGTCTGCACCATATGCTGGGGAATTATGTTGAAAGTGACACAAGCAGTAAAAATGCATGCATACTAGCGTGAATGGAAAATTGGCGATGCTGTAAGAAAGATCAGATAGATCGACGGAGCGCGTAAGTATGGCGGACCCGAACAATACCCCCAATACACCAACCGGTAAGCAATCCAATGAGAATTAAAACGGTCAAAAAATCAAAGGAGAATGGCAGTGGCACGCAATAGAAAGAACCCGAAGAGGCTAACGTCTGCAGCGGGAGCAATCCCGACGCGACCGAATAAGTTGCAGGTGAGTACAACCAGAGAACGGTGCTCCCAAAGTTATTGGTCAATGTAAACCCCCTGCTACTAAATGTTAAAAGGTTAAGGCGTCAGGAAGTATCATATTAAAACAAACAAAAATATTGCAATGTATTATTTCTTGCGGAGCTTTGTCCTCTTATGTGTGTCTGAGGGCTTTGATCTTCCTAGCGCATTTCTCTTTCTGGATGTTAGTCCACCAGAAGGAATAGGTAAATCTTCGGATACTTGTGCCAGCAGGTCAGCGGTCAACATCTTCCGAGAAGTCAACAGCGGTTTCTCAGGAGCTCCATTCTGCGCAGACTGTGTGAGTGGCGGCACGCGCTGGTCTTGCTTGTTCAAATGGTTCATGCGAGAATCAATCTGAAGAACGGGCGCTTCGGAGGGATCAAAGTAAATTGGTATGTTTCCCTTAGGACATTGAATGTACATTGAGCGGATGTTATCCAAACCTCCATCTGGCCAATCAGAGCACACCTTTTCGCACTGAAATGAAAGCATTAAATAAATGAATAAGTGGTATATTCTCGACAGTGCGAGACAAAGACTGTCTATGTGGTCTGATCATTCGGTACAACATAATCGGATAGTCGAGGAAGTTGATCAAGTTTTTCAAAGCAGTTCACAAAGGAGTTTTTGGGGTGTCCTATCAGTTAAAAGTAACAAAAGGTCGGAGTTGAGAGTATAAATGCGCGGGGTGGGATATATGACGAGAGGACAATGCAAATCAAAAAACCAATAATCTAAGTATATAGCGTGAAGACCTAAACACAAAGGAAAATGTATAAGTAATTCAGTCATTCGAAGGAAGGATCAAAATCTGATAAACACACGTATGATTCAGGTCACTGAAGTTGCGCCTAAAAAGACCAGTTCATCCCAACTATGTTGGCCAATCTCGTCAACCATCTGACGCATGTAGGCATCCTACTCTCACACCACTAAGCCCCCGACGTTGCAACTCAGATGGTCGGTTGCATGACAGAGTTCGGATGCGACCCGTTGTACAAATATAGTCAAATGAGACATCGCGTGCACATTGGTGGTCGCTGAGACTATAATAATAATAATTAATAATAATAATAATGTGTCAGCTGTACGCTGTAACGGCGCTTCGCTGCCGCGCGACCACCACCAGTCGCGCACGGGCTGAGTATACCGCGAGGACGCCCACCCCTACGCGGATTCGAACCGGTAACCTTATGGTTGCAAAGCAAACGTGCAGACCACTCGGCCGACTGAGATATGCGAAGATCGGGACCAGCACATAAAAAGCTAACAGGCGACTTAAAAAAACCTAACGTTAAAAGCAGGCGTTACAGGGACATGGTAAACTCTGAGCAATGACCCGAATAGGATCGGAGAAACGAAACTCAATGGATTTACTTGTTCTGATAACAAAGAGACGGAGGGAAAACAAACGTCGATTTGGGCGAGTGGTAGGAATAACATCCAGCTCACTGCATAAGAGGGTCAACAATTGGAAGCAAGAGATCTAACACATGGGAATCGGTGATAACTCAGCCACATTATATGGCATGGTATCCCCAGTCAATGACGAAGAGAATGCCGAAGCCTTTATCCAGGAAAACAACAAGCTTCGGTGCGATATCTATACACGGCCAGGTGAACATGACCTTTCCCAGCGTAATCACATGGTCACCTAAGAGTTTCGTCCAATCAGGTGTCACAGCAACACGCATGGGTGATCAGTGGCATGAGAAGAGCACAGCCAGGGTAGTTCAGATTCAACGGGTGTCCCAACGCAACACGAAAAGGCTAGTTGCTAGAAGCCAATGACCAGGACCACAGTGCGTACCGGTGGCCAAAGTGCAACGCCTTTGTGACCATGCCCCTAATCTACAAATAGCATTGACTAAAGTTTAGCGCTGAAAACCTAGCTCGATCAACGAATGATGAAAGAAGTGCGATATAGCGCCGGTAGACTAGATGGGATTACATGCAAGCAACAAATGATAAGATACACAACCTGTAAAACTGGTAACGCAGATTGGCGAGCAAGGACGAATTCAAATAGAACTGCGAGCTTCGGTCATAACCGACATTACAGATAAAATTTGTACTTACCACATGAAGAATATTATCTTTAAGCTGATTCAAAGGAGTATGTGTATTTGCGATTGGGATGCTCTCTGAGGTTCCTAAACCACGTATCTGGAATAGAGTCGTGGCCAGTTCATTTTCGACAACTTGCACGACATTACGCTTTGCAATGTCCACGGGGACTGGGGTCTTGCCGCGAGCTCTACCATAGAAAGCCTTTCCTAACTTCGTTGGAAGATGGTGCATGATACGCCTATCAGCGAGAAACAAGTCGAAAGTAGCTGACAGTCGCTGTTTGGCGGCAAACGTTTGGTAGGCGATTTTGAGTTCTCGAAGGGGTAGGAATGTGGGAACAGCGCAGGAGATAGGAACTGCAGAACTATCCGCCTTCCAGCGGAGTTTCCATGCATCAACGGTTTTGTTGTAATCTAACTTATCAACATCTTTGACAATGAGACAGACCGATAGATTCTCAGGACGATACGGAAGGTGACATCGAATAAACTTTTTGGAAGGCACGAGTTTACTAACGATCATCAAACTGATATTGGATGGGAAGATGTTTTTCTTCTTGGACATCGTCTCTGAGTGGAGTAGTATATCCCCAGAGAGGGAGGAGAGATTTTTACGTATCGTATCCATGAAGATCAGCTGAACAAGGGAAGCTTTGAGACCGTTTAAGTTTTGGTGCGCGAGACAAATAGCCAAATGAAGAGCGGTTCTGCAACAAAGCAAACACACATAAAGTATTGCGGGTTCGATTGAGTTCAGCCCTGATGATCAGTTATAGCCCGCGCACCGAAGTGCAGTGGGCCCAGTTGCAGTGATTCACATGGTCACAAATACAATGATGAAAAAGGTAAGAGAAGGAAAAAGACCAGTCCAAAAAAGACGAGTAAATGATAATGAAATCATCAGATGTAAGAGATAAGATTCAGAAACAATAAGGCAAGTGAAAGAACGCATCTAGGTTCATCGCAATTGTGAACACCAGTACGGTAGCATCGTCAACTGTGCAGCTACACTGTATCGATGCGTCAACTCCATACAGTCACAAATTAGGGAAAAGACTCTACTACAGAAAAATCAGAACAAGGGAAGTTAACGTAGGCGAAAAATCTGGATCAAGGTGCTTACACCTAGCAAACACCGCAGTCACAAGCAGCTTGGCATCGTATGAAGCTGAAGCAGAACTGTGGATATAGTATTATAATGGATTTAGCTGCATTATGTCTGGTATGGAATAGAAACGCCTAAAATAACTGTTTGGGTTGCACTTCCTCTATTTGTTTCCAAGCCTCGTGGAAGAAGGAAAACTTTCTGCCAGAAGTGTAACTACGTACGGACCGACGACTGACAGTCGCTCTACCGGAAGAATTACTGATTGAAAATTTGAAAAGTAAAGCGGTTAGCCGCGAATGGCCTACAGCTAACTAACCAACCGGAAATGCAAACAAGTTTATCTGAAGCAAAAGAAGAGGACATCAGTGACAGTGCATAAATACAGATAAAATGTAGGGGTACTTTACTTCCGATGAAATCACCAAAAACAAGCCATTTTAGGGAACCTCACTTCCCTAACAGCTTCACAATCAACATTACCCATGAGATAAACAAGCATCAAACATGCTATACATGGACGACCCCATGTAGAGGCGACAACAAACACACTGTTGGTGTCAGTTGTTAACAGTGTCATGCAATATCTCGAGTCAAGCGCAGTGGTACAAATGGTGATTCCAGCATAGTCATCAGTGATTCTGTTTACATTTGCCGAGCCAAAAGGGTCAACTTGAAGCAACCGCCGTGTGAATGGATTGCGAAATGTGGTCTCAATCTGGACCGTAATTCATTCAAAAGTGAAGCCAAACCAAATCAATCACCGGAACCGTGCCACTTGAAATGTTGCCCTCCACGACCGAATTTGTACTCATTTGCATACACCAGATAGAGATAACAGCGCTGCGACTCGAACTTTGGATGCAACGGGTGCTGCAAAATAACCGCATGGTGACAAGCGCTGCCCGCGGCTTGGTAGTTCAGGGATGGGGGCTTAGGCTGACACCCCAAAATCCCGGGTTCAAGTCGCAGTGCCGTTATTCCTATCTGGCGAGTGCAAACAATTATAAAACCGGTCGCAGAGAGCAGTGCTGCAAGCAGCGCTACATAACATTTGTTTGTTTATCACTGTAGTCTGTGTAAAGCCGGCGGTAATATCATCTTAGTGCGAAGGACATCGTGGACTGCTAAAGACAGTCATACTCTCATACATGAAATGATTTAAAATATTTCGAAATACAGGTAGCTGGGGTTGATGAATCAATTGTTCATTTGTTCTCCGAGCTTGGCGGTATTCTCGCAAACGTTTCACCACCATGCGAGGTGGCATCCTCAGTGCAGTGATATGTAGCGTACAAGCTTACTAAATGAATCCTCCATCCATGATCGACCTGCAGGTGACTTTGAACGTGGCAGTGTCGATTTAGGTCCCGTGACCTCTACCCACTTTCCCCAAGGCTAAAGTCGGCGCCCGAGTTGTTCTGCCTCAAACCGCGTGACAAAAGGTTCTTTATTTCTTTGTCACGCGGTTTGAGGCAGAACAACTCGGGCGCCGACTTTAGCCTTGGGGAAAGTGGGTAGAGGTCACGGGACCTAAATCGACACTGCCACGTTCAAAGTCACCTGCAGGTCGATCATGGATGGAGGATTCATTTAGTAAGCTTGTACGCTACATATCACTGCACTGAGGATGCCACCTCGCATGGTGGTGAAACGTTTGCGAGAAAACCGCCAAGCTCGGAAAACAAATGAACAATTGATGAAATGATTTCAGCAGTCACATACTCACTGTTGATGCAGATAGCAAAGTAGGTGAATTGTTCAACTATTTCCATATGCGTGTCGTCAAACTGTGCGCGGTTAGTGAATAAACGGCGATCCCGTAACAAATAATGAGACCACTCCAAAAGGCCTGTCATTGGTTGACTGCGCCACTTCACGATTGTTGATCAGCAAAAGGATACTGTCCGCCTAGTGCTCCCCAAAAGAACACTTGGTGATGGGATCTACAGTAAAGCCAACAATGGTGGGGAAATAGAACGAGTCTGGCGACCTCACCTATCGTTAGAGGTGTGTGACAGTTAGATTGAAATGCGGACGTGATCTACGGTATTCAAGCATAGAGCCTCAAGTGCGTTCTACATACTGGTGAACTCACCATTCGATTAAGTTCTCGAAAGGTGGGAACACCTGTAAATGGCCAGTGGTAAGTTAGACCATATCGCTTCAAACTCCGCACACGGGAAGTTTGATTTACAGTTATATCATTGTTGAAGACTAGTTCGCCGTTGCCCGTCCGGAATCTTCGTCTAGCGTTAAGGCGGTGGACGAGAACTGGGGCCACAAACTTTGATAACGCCGATGTTAAGCTGATGTTCCCGCACAACTACCATTCCTGAAAAGTGCTAAGATGGTCTACTCACCGCAATTGACTAAGACAGCATCTCCTAGTCATAACGGTGGGAACGGGAGGGCGAATCACTTTGCAAAGAACCTCGTCACCATTCTAGTGCAAAGCGAACACAACAGAAACCGAATAAACAGCACAGGAAAAGTTGGAGAAGGTGATAATGCACTTGGAATCGTAGATCAAAGTGAAGCTTCTGAGACAACTGACCAGTGTCTAAGTTAAGGTGATGTTCGGCGCACAACTGTAATAAACGTCCTTGATTACTCATGCGCTCGGGAGCAGACCCAGACATCCTATCCAGCTGAGCTTAGGAACAATTTAGACGACCTAATTGCAGATTAAGGTAACAAGTGGCTACAACTATCCTTAGCTGCTCGTGCTACTCGGTAACATGCTGTAAATGGGAAAAGGCGTATTTGGCAGCGTCAGGGCTTCAGTAAGTTGAGGCGCCTGTCCTGGCCAAACGTAAAGTGTATCGTTTTCTCGTGCTCTTGTCGTGGTCGATGCTGCTAGTTTGCTTACAAATGCAGTCCGCATCAGCCCTTAGGTCGAGCGGTATGAATGCACGCGGCACTACAAGTTCCAGAATACAAGGACTGAGAGCAGATAAGGGAATATAGCAGTTTGATACAATAAATGGTTCTTCAAGGTAGTTGAAAATTGGGTAATGTGGCAATTTAGATGTATTCGACAAACAGCAGTACTGCAGCTGTTAGTTAGGAACCGCAAGAAGTTAGGGATGGAAATAAAGCAGCGAATGAGGGAAAGGGAATCAGACAACAGCATCGAGTTATTGCCGAAGGTCCTGCCGTGGTTCACCTGCCTCATCGATACATTAAGTTGTGATGCATGCCGCTTCTTGTAACATCACAGTCAAACATACCAGCTAGATCAACGTGTAACGACCTAAAGACTCCCATTTGTCTGGACAGGATGTGTAAAATATCATATATGTATAATTTCGTCCTGTATCTAGGCAAGCTAGAAAACTTGAGTGTTCGAAAAGTGACTGTGTGTTTGAGTCAACCAAATAAATCGCACTTCGCATGCCTACGGATTTCCGACTCGAAGAGTGCTCGCGAAGATACCTCTCCTCATAGCTAGAACAAATTTAGTGTCTCTAACTAACGGGATTGCATGTTTCGATCATAAAGGTATACATCGATCATTGATTCTTCTCCAGAATATTCCCTAAGGAGGGACGAAACTGAGTTTATAGGGATCGAGCGATTCCATACTAAACGGTTAGAGGTCAAAAAATGGACCGCAGGGAGAGAGAACTGATTGTCAACGTGCGGGTTTTGCCACAAATCACGCTGGGAAAGACCATGCTAGCGTGTTGCCAGGGCACAGCTGAAAGCTGATGAAATCGCGCATCTGACAGCAGGCATGTTGCCAAGGCCTGACCGGAAGCTGATGAAATCACACGTCAGACATCACGTGCGTTGTCATGCACCGGGTAGGCGGACGAAGACTGGAGTGCCCGAGCAAGACGGTGAACTGGACAGACGGAGCGAACAAGCAAGTGTGGAGCGTGGGCTTACAGCCAAATCCGCCTGGTGATGTTTGGAGGGTTGGTGAGACCGACATATAAGTATGAGCGTTCTCTGTCCTAATACAACTCTGGTCTGCTGAGTCTTCTTCTGTCTTCCTTCCTGTCGGGTTTGTCAAGGCGTCAAACAGAGCAGGCGTAAGGGCGCAGATTTACCAGCTGACGTGAATCAACCGGTCGATTGCAGGGCACAGCAAAATAACAGTAACGATGCGAGTACAACCGAACCCAGAAATGGCAATCAACTCTGAACAATTGCAAATGCTGTTGCCGCAACAACAGGCTCCGTTTGAAGCATCCCAGGGCAAGCTGACCGAGATGCTAACTCAGAAGCTGACAGTGCAATCAAGCCCAGGGTTAGGGGCAAGTGAAAGTGCTCCTTCACCAGAAACCCTGACTCAGCAGATCAGTGAGTTTCATTATGATGCTGATGTCGGTATAACATTTGTTTCTTGATTTCACAAGTATGAAGACATGTTCCGGGTTGATTTCGCCAATCTTCCAGCGGAAAAGAAAATTCGACTAATGCTGCGGAAGCTGGTGCTGCCGAACACGAGAAGTTCACCAATTTTATCTTACCTAAAAAGAGTACCGATTTGCCCTTCGACGAAGTGATTGCAGTCTTGTCGCAGATTTTCAGAGAGCAGACATCTTTGTTCAACCTCCGGTACAAGTGTCTGACAATAACAAAAAAAGAAGACGAAG